GTTTACTTTCAGGTCATCTCCCCATCCTGCAGTGAACAGCAGCATTTGCTCCCTCATAAATCACTTGTGGTAGCCCTGTAGTTCTAGCATGTGGAAAGCATATCACTCCAGAGTCAAAATCTGCCACAACTTGCTACTGTGTGATACAAGTGAATCCCGGAGGGCTGTTTGGCTATCACTGAGATGCGAGTTGATGCCAACATGTTTTTACTTATCTAGAAACAGGATTTTCTGGTGCTCCAGAGGCTTTTTTTCTTTTCAAACCAGAACCTGTAAGATAAAAATTGAAAGTAGGAAGACTGTGCAGGTGAGTGTGGAGTTATCCAAGTTGGGGTTCAATAACCTATGGCCCACAGGATAGGTCCAGCCCATACATTGATTTCAGCTGGCCTGCAAAGCCTAGAGTATGATGGTAATTGAAGGTTGGGGGAATTGATGGTAGCAGTGGGAGTGGCAGCCAGGTCAAAAGCAGTGACCCGCCTACAGAATGAATGCTAATTTGACCGGCTGATCCTAAAAGGTTGCCAGCTTCTGATCCAAGTGGTTGAGCCAAGCTGTGGATTCTACCACAGACCCTGACCTGCTCCCAGTCTCCTATTCAGCAAGGTGAGAACTTGGTGCCAGTTTGAATGTCAGTACTTGCACTCGGAAAACATGAATCATGCCCTGGCTCCCATTAGATATAAAGAAATGGCTTTGCCATTCCTGCACACCTGTTTTTATCTTTTTGAATGTCTAATCTGGTAAACTGAAGATAGATCTTGAGTGCCTCAAAGATCTACTGTGAAATTGGTTAGTTACCATCTGTTAATACACCTTGCAATGCATTTAAAAATATTTTACAACAGCTTTTTCTCTCTCTCTCTCCAGTGAATCCCAGAGGAGCAGTCGCAACTTGAGGCAGGTTAGTGTGGATAATTCTAATTTATGCTAATGGATACGAAGCAAGATGGGAATAGCCTGTTCTGCAAGAGTCCTGTGCCTACACAGGACATGTAAAATAGTCTTGTGTAAACACCTCTTTAACAGTGCTTCTATCTAGCCAGTTCCTGATGCATTTTTTTGAAAGAAGCATTGCTTTTTGAGCTCGCTGTATCCACATGCATAGAAAATACACCAAGAAGATACACTGTTATAAAAACATTATCGAAGCTCTGTTTTATGGACAGAGAGTGATTATTTGTCCATATTTTCCTTTGTGGCCCTAGTATAACAGCAAATGAAAGTAATAGTTGTGGTGGGGATTTTTCAGACACCACCAGCCCATTAGGACCTGGGTCAAGGCCATTAGTTCATTTTCCAAGGGCCGCCAAACAAATCACATATTGATGTTGCAGTAGTATCTCTGGTCATAGGCCAAGGCCCTGTTGGGCAGGGCACTGAACAAGTACAGAATAGACCAGGGGTGGGCAATTATTTTGGGCAGAGGGCCGCTTACTGAATTATGCAAGCCATCAAGGGCCGCATGACAGGCAGCCAGGGGCAGATAAACATTAATTTTCTTAAAATTTTTAAGGACTCCGTGGGCTAGATAGGATGGTCTGGCGAGCTGCATCCAGCCCGCGGGCCACGTTTTGCCCACACCTGGAATAGGCTTTACCTGCTTCAAGAAGCTGACATTCTCAGGCAATGAACAACACAAAGGAGAATAAGGTAACAATGAGAGAATGTTGGTCAGGAGGGCAAGCCCTGGTCAGCATGCCAGTGTCTAGGACAGGGGAGGGCAATTATTTTGGGTGGAGGGCCGCATACTGAGTTTTGCAAGCCATCGAGGGCCACATGACAGGCAGTCAGGGGCAAATTAATATTTATTTTCTAATTTTTTTTATGGGCTCCGCAGGCCAGATAGAATGACCTGGCGGTCAGCATGTGGTCCACAGGCCACATTTTGCCCACCCCTGGTTTAGGACAATGGTTCTCAACTTGTGGGAGTTGAGGTGTCCCTCCTCTTTAACTTCCATGAATTGAATGGCATCCACTTTCAAAAACTAATTTATATATTACAGTGCTTACCTCCTTGCAGAGGGACTGGGCAATGGCACCCTTTGAAAGATTTGGTGGCACTCCAGAGTACAGTGTCACCCTAGTTGAGAATCACTGGTCTAGGAGGCATTGTGGTGAAGGAAGTTTTATAAGGAGGGATTTGAAGTAGGGTAATGAGGTACTTTTGGGAGCTGGGGATGATGGGAAGCCTTTTCCATGCCTGACAGGCATCTTGTTGCAGAAATGGAGAGAGTGTGAAGGTGATTGTTTGGAACTTTAACACTTCTGTTTAACACATTAGCAATGACTAGCTAACATTACTGTGACCTGGATTTGAATCTCAGACCAATGAATGGCTCTGTCCCGTCAACCAAATCACTTAGCTGTCCAGTTCTAATTAGCATAAGGTGGCTAATTACCTGCCTTGGTAACAAAAAACACATCTTGCTCCTATAGGGCTCTCTCCAGATAAGTGGCAAAAGACATTGGTGGAGCAACCTGGGGAAGCTATGGCATGTATTCTGAGGATAAAGGATTTGAGTGCTGCTAATATGGCATCTTGGGAGTCCTAATTCTTCTCAAGAGAAGCTTGGCATTTGATTTCTAGCACTGCAGTGAAGCAAAATTGCAGATAAATACATCATTTGGATAGTCTCCAGCTGTTACTTTGCTCTGTGAATCTCCCACCTGCCCTGTAGCACCTGCTGTTGTCCTGTATCAGGCCAGGCTACCAGTAGTTGTGTGTTGATGCCTATGTGAGAATAAAGGCAAGAGGTCTCTAGTCACCTTCACTTATGACTTGAGTTAAAACACCCCTCTACAGCAGCTAGAAGCCCCATTATGCCACTCTGATTTGCTTCACTACCTTCCTTTCTTCTTTTCCTTTTTCATGTTCTTGTGACAAGGCATTTAGCAGAATTCTCAGATTCATTGGACTCTGACAGGGCTGCACAGTGAGTGCTTCTATTATGGCCTCAAACTTGTGACCTCTGAGCTTTCAACAGTGCGCCTTACTGCCCATACCACCCCACCCCATGCCTCCCTACCAACTAATATAATTTCTAAGCTAACAAGGGACAGGCTCTCTCAGCTTGTCAAGCACAGTACATTCTGCTCACCCAGTACCTTCCATTCAAAGAGGTTCATGGCCAAGTGGAGACAGTTTCCCCTTTTATTTAGCCCTCCAGAGCAACCCTGTGCCTTTCTGCTCCTTCTGACTATATTGGAAAATTATAAGAGGACCTAATAAAACATCAAGCAGTTTATCACAGTCTCTTACTATTGCCCTCTCTTCCCTTGCTACAAACCAAATTTTTCCTTTGTCCAATGGTGGTGGCAGAAGGAAGCTGGCTTTTTTTGGCTTCTATGTAAATTGCCTTACGCAAAAGTAATATTGTGTAAATATGGAGAAAAGCTGAGGTTTGTGGGCTTTTATAGTATGAAAACAGATAAGATGGCATTTCTGACAAGTCATGAAACATCATTAATGGATAGGATGAATTTCTATGGTTGCCTGAAGACTATCCCTGCATCAGAAACTGCATCTTAAAATATTATACTGAGCTTGATGGCTGTTTGAACGAGAGCTCCTTAGCACACTGAGAGTCCAGTCTCTGGGGTGAAGAATATATAGTTTCTGAGGAAGCATTTGTGAGCACATCCATTTGTCATGTTCTCTGGCCTGCTTCTCAGCAGCAAGTTGGGGTCAACACTAACCACAGGGGCTCTCCAAAAATGGTATAGGTCTCAGGGAATCAGAATATTATGGAGGGAGAATTGCCTGCCTAAATCCTGGTCATGGTATGGGAGGGTTCAAATCTTGCCTTGCCAACAAAACAAACTCTGTAAAGTCAAGGTTTCCATGTTCTCCCAACCCTCCCTCCTTTTCCTGTAGGAGGGAGCAGTCAAGTTCTCTGGGCCCAATTAGGTTAGGAAATATGGATGATGCCTAACTTGGGAACAGGTTAGGACCTGCTATATAACCACCTCCTCCGACTTGCGGAAGATCCATTCAGACCTTTCTCTTGGTTTCAGTTTGTTCATTTGTTATAAATACCATATGGCATTTCGTGGCTCTGCCATTGTGATCTCACAAAGGAAGGTGTCAGAACTCGCCAGTCAGGCAGTGGGAGGAGGTAGGGTTCTGGCTGCTCTGCGTTGGATACAAGGCTGGGCTTGTGGCTGTGATGCTGGGCTGGAACTCGGAAGAGCTGGGCTTAAGGTCTCGGTTTTGTCAGGCTTACTGTCTGACTTGGGCAAGGCACTGGGGTGCTCTGGGACACAGCTGCTGTCTGTAGAATGGGACTTATAGGGCTTCCCTGCCTCGGGGGGGGGGGGGGG